ATTAAAACTTTAGCCTCTTCAGGGAACTTGGCATCCCACCCCACCTGGCTTCCCACTTCTCCTGGTTGAGCCTTTACTCACCCACTGTCCTAGTGAAACTAGAAACGCCTCCGGGCCACTGGTAATTCTTCAATCATAAAAAAAGGAAATTGGCACATATTAATATGTTTGGTTTTTTCGATTTATCTACTCATATATTTAACTCCACGTCAAATGGCCTTTTTTTTTCCTACCTAAGCTGATAGCCCTAGGAGCTATGTCAGCGTAACCCTAACTTTAGTAGGTGAGCTCACGGGGCTCAAAACCTGATGACGTTGCTAACACGAACCCTAGCAAGAGCCGTGCTTCGCAGAATCTACCACCGGATCGGAAACGCGACCCACTGAGAAGATCCGGCGAGAAACTCAGTGGGCTGTGTCTGAGAGTTAATTTACTCGTCGAGCCCTTCGTCGCAAGCGACGGTTTCGACGAGAACGGTGACCGGTGCTTGAAGTACCTAANTGGGGCTGGGACGCGCCACGCCCCGGGCACGAAGTTCAGCCCGCCACCTATAGTCAGCGGCGAGCGCCTCCGCTTCCAGAACCCAAGGCGGCGTCCCAGCCAGTACACACGCCGCCTCAAAGGAGATGGTGCGATAACCACGGATGACCCTGACCGCGATGGTGCGTTGCGGCCGTTGCAGCAGCTTCGCCACCCCCACGGCCAGGGACACGTAGTGGCCCTAGCCACACAATACTATGCTAGCTAAATAAGTTTATACTATATACATGTTTTCATTAATAAAATACTTTATACGTATGTTTTTAAGTATTTAGGAATCCAGCATAATCAAAAAATATCCACTGCTGTCTTGTACAAAAAATAACTTAATTCAAAAACTTCATTGGTCTTTTACTAGCAAATCCGGCGAACTAGAGATTTAATTTTTTTTATAATTGAATAAACATATTAAACCCTACAAAATGAGGTAAGTTACATGAGAGCACAAACTGAAACCAAATTCCATACTACAATGGGCATTCTCCTTTCACCAAGGCTACACTATAAAAAACATTAATAAAGACAAACAATATTTAATCTATTCTCAATTTGACCACAGACGTCAAGAACAAAAGTTTGACAATAAATAGCATGCATGCGTGTGTGCGTTAAATACATGGTATGTAGTGTGTGTAATGTTTTCTTTATTGACTTAATGTACCTTTCATGCATTATTTAAAAAAAATATTAGCATTGTGCACTTCTTCTGTATATTCTGTATAAGTGTGGAAAATTTCATACTCCTCCGTCCGCGCAATTTTCGTAAAAAGGGATACAAAGTTTTTGCTTCACGTATTAATATATAGATAACTAAACTACACTACTGCTACTGTATGCAATTCTCGACTGAACTACATTTAACGAATTGTACAGGTAAAATTTCATTCCAACACCCTTTTTTTATTTTTTTTTATTGCTTAGATGGGTGGACGAGCTCACGGCCCGCCTGGTATTAAGTGTTTACCGGAGCCCATAGATATCTACAACGTAATTGCCGCCACCCACCTTGAGACATGAGTTGTGAGGTCTCACTTTTAACAGTATCACGGATGCCCCGCCCTTCAAACCGAAACGCATTACTGTTTCACGGCAGAAATAGGCAGGGCGGTGGTATCTACCCGTGCGTACTCACAAGACATCCTACCATCAGTAGTTCCCGGTCACCATCCTCGCCGAACCCGTCGCTTGCGACGAAGGGCTCGACGAGCGAATTAACCCATAGACACAGCCCGCTGAGTTTCTCGCCGGATCTTCTCAGCGGGTCACGATTCCGATCCGGTAGTAGATTCATTCGCGAAGCAGCTATAATCCCACCCCTCCTGGCTAAGCCCTTGTTCTTCCACCTGTCCTAGTAAAACTGGAAACGCCTCCGGGCCACTAGTAATCTTTCAAATAAGTTAAAAATAAAAACGTTTTTAAACTAAACTATTTAGTTGTATTGAATAATGCGAAGATGTACATATATGTATATATAAAATCGATTATATTAGTACACTAGTCTTACAAATTTGGAGTGATAGGGTCGAATAGGCTTGTTGTGTTAGAACTTAGGAAGCTTCGTGACAATTCGCATCCTTGAGGACAGAGCATATAGTGGAGTATACTTTAGTAATTTTTTTTTATTTTATTATTATTTGTTTATGTAATATTTGTATGTATTGCGAACGCGATGAAACTTTGTAAATAGGTGGTGTGTAAATCAGAAGACTAATAAAATAAAAACACATTATATTTTAATGATTTTTCTTTAAATGTTCTATTACATTTGTTTTTTTTTTTTTTTACCTATGAACGAAGAGGAAGTAATATAAAAATACTGTTTGTGATCTAAAGTAATAATAACAAATTAATATCATTATTTGATTATTATGCTTTAGCAAAAACATTGAAAACTTCTCCGTTGGATAGCCTGGCGGGTCTAGTTTTTTTATTTATTGCTTAGGTGGGTGGACGAGCTCACAGCCCACTTGATGTTAAGTGGTTACTGGAGCCCATAGACATCTACAACGTAAATGCGCCACCCACCTTGAGATATAAGTTCTAAGGTCTCAGTATAGTTACAAAGGCTATAATTTTGTGGGTTTGATTTTTATTACATTCCTTCACCGTGGAAGTCAATCTTGAACATTTGTTAAGAACGTATTTCATTAGAAAAATTGGTACCCGCCTGCGGGATTCGAACACCGTTGCATCGCTCGATACGAATGCACCGGGCGTCTTATCCTTTAGACCACCACGACTAAAAATATCTATAATCGGATATATAAAGCAGTACACACTGACTGGATTATTCACCACCAAACGAGGAGGAGAACGGTGGTGGCGTGAAGACAGCCTGTTAGGAAGAATTGTACTATTGCAGTCACGTTTTTGGTAGACCAGTGTCGTGAGTATTTGAGTCTATATAAAAAAATGACATGAATGCTTTACCTTGAAGCACAGAAGCAACGGGTCAATGTGCTTCACAAAAGCATCGTTTGCGGGTTGAAGATTGTGCCAAAAGCCTAGATTGATCGTTTTAGAAATACAAATTAGCTATTCTTGTCCATAGACTTAACTTGTTTGTCGGAAGTCGCACCCAGGGACGTCTAGGATGGGCACACAAGAATTCGAGGCCCTTTTGGAAAATATAAAAAGCGAATTATAATAAAAAAAAATTACTGAGTTTGAGACCATTTATTATATGTAATCAAATACAGTATGATATAATATGTCATTAACGATTTCGATAACGGTTTCTTCTATCTTCTATTATAGGCAAAATCTTCTATCTTCTATTATAGGCTTGTAAATACCTTCTGATTACTGATTTGTGAAAAATGTAATGTCCCTACAAAAATGTTTTGAGAATAAACGTGTGAGAAAAATTGTCGGTCTTTCGAGGCCCCCTGAGAATGGGGGCTCTGGGCACGGGCCCCGTGTGCCCTTATGGTAAAGATGGTATTGGTCGCATCTCTGATTCGTAAGCAAGATCGAGTAATTGAGTTAATCTATTTAACTGAAATTTACTTTATATAAATAGTAACAGTACATATCGGGTTAACAATAAGTTAATTTAGAACGCTTTGATTTTCTTGCAGTTAATTTATTTTTTTAACAAAAAGAAAAAATAACATACCTAAAAGTTTAAGACCGAAGGCGACTCAAGCGATTTCTGTCCTTAAATCCGCAACATAAGCAGGCTCTTTTATGTTCTAATGATAGTAATATTTCAAGCCGGCACCGTCAACTATATAAAGTAACACGTCAGAGCACAAGTCATCATTCTACTTGTGACACACAGACGAAACACCTCACATTATGAAGGTAATGAAAAAGTACTATTTAAGCTTTCGGTTAAAGTTTATTTTTTTCGATTTATTCGACTTTTGAGACAAAGGTTTGAATGAAAATTGCATTTTTTTAAATTTTATTTATTTTGTATTGTGAATATTCTAAGAGATACATGACAATAATAATTTTTATAAATATTTTTTTGGGGTAAACTCTGCTTTACTTTTACAATGTTAAAGCACTTTTTGACTTTGTTAAAAGAGGTGGAGTCTCTTAATTTGACAGTATTTTTTTATGCGTGTTACTTTTTTCTTGATCAACCAAGATGCATGATTTTTTTTTCCGTTTGAATTCTCTGTTTGATTTATTTGTTGTATGATCTCGTTTATCTTTATCAGGGTCCTAACCAGTAGTAGTATCTTTTGGGTCATCCTACACACAGATCAAGGACCGATGATCATACAATAATATTAAAGTCGTCGTGGCCTAAAGGATAAGACATCCGGTGCATTCGTATGTAGCGATGCACCGGTGTTCGAATCCCGCAGGCGGATACCAATTTTTCTAATGAAATACGTGCTTAACAAATGTTCACGAGTGACTTCCACGGTGAAGGAATTATAATTTGCGTAATTACTGGTGGTAGGATCTCTTGTGAGTCCGCACGGGTAGGTACCACCACCCTGCCTGTTTTTTCCGTGAAGCAATAATGCGTTTCGGTTTGAAGGATGGGGTAGCCATTGTAACCATACTGAGACCTTAGAACTTATATCTCAAGGTGGGTGGCGCATTTGCATCGTAGATGTCTATAGGCTCCAGTAACCACTTAGAACCAGGTGGGCTGTGAGCTCGTCAACCCATCTAAGCAATAAAAAAAAAAAAAAAATTATTACTTTATCTTAATATAAATATATTACATAAAAAGGCAAATTAGTCCGATACGTGGTGCTTAGTGCGACTTTTTTAACGTTCTCGATAGCGTAAAAGTTAACTCAAATTTGTATGGAGTTAGAACAGCGCCCCTAGCGGCAAACGAAGGTAAGCTAGAAGATAAAAAAACTCGCAATAAGCACAATGATTACGACTGATTTTCGTTAGCAAGAATCACCTCTCCAGTTTAGTTCTTAAAGCACATAAGGTAAAGTCTTTTTTTGTTTGTTTGAAAGACCTTTTTTTGTCACCAGTTCATCGTTGTTTTAATGGTTGTGGCCGCAGTAGCCTTCGCTGAGCCGCCGCCTTCGAAGAGGTAAATTAAATTTAATTTGAAAAAAACTAATTTAATTAGAGCTCATGTCTTAAGGACGACATTTACTTCGTCCTTGCCTATGGGCTCTGGTAACCACTGAACACCGACTAAGCAATAAAAAAAAGTTGCTTGTATACCACAGCTTCTGCTTAGACTTTGATATCAGCGTAAAGTTCTTGGCGCCACGGGTTTAGTAGTCGATGGCAAATCAATAAAACTGCATATTTTATTTTCATTATCGTTACCAACAATATATTGGTGTGGTTCCGCACGGGTAGGTACCACCACTCTGCCTATTTCTGCCGTGAAGCAGTAATGCGTTTCGGTTCGAAGGGCCGGGCAGCCGTTGTAACTATACTGAGACTTTAGACTCATATCTAAAGGTGGGTGGCGACATTTACGTTGTAAGCGTGTATGGGCTCCGGTAACCGCTTAACACCAGGTGGGCTGTGAGCTCGTTCAACCAACTAAGCAATAAAAAAAAAATCAATTTTTTTTAATTCACACCGAAATGTGGTCTTTATTGTAAATGTTTTTGTTAAAACATTCATAACATAAAAATCTTCCACTAACAAGTGGAAGATGAAGTTAGGGAATCCTAATCAAACTTACCATGTTTCAGCTACCTCCCGCCTTCTCCGTTAACCAGAAACGCTGGGTATCCCCAAGGCCCTCATGGTTTCGGAGGTGCTCCTCAAGTGGTAGCGGCCAGGACTCTGGAAGGTCAAGGAATCCATGGTGCTTTCGGCCACGGGCAAGCAGGACATGACGATCACGAAGACGACAGCCTCCACGGAAATGGGTTCGCAAGGTAAAGAAGATGCGGAGTTCTATATCAGAAAGAGACCGGGAAAGTGGTAACGACAGCCACGACTTGACCTCACATTGGAGAAGAGTGTGTTATTTATCCCTACCTAATCACTGGTAGCCTAAGAGGTTATTCCAGTTATGTCCGGACTGGTAGGTGAGCTCACGGGCTCAATCTGAGAGAATTTGCTAACATTAGCTCTAGCAAGAGCAGTGCTTCGCAGAATCTACCACCGAAACGGAATCGCGACCCGCTGAGAAGATCCGGCGAGAAACTTAGTAGATGAGAGGAGTGTGTGCTTGGAACAGTAATTTCGAGATTCTAATAAGCTAAATTAAATAGGCAAAAGGCTTAGGTCATAAGTTTGAAGTCGTCGTGGTCTAAAGGATAAGACGTCCGGTGCATTCGTGTTGAGCGATGTACCGGTATTCGAATCTCAGGCGGGTACGCGTACCTACCGTGTAATAAAAATCAAACCCGCAAAATTATAATTTGTGTAATTACTGGTAGTAGGACCTCTTGTGAGCCCGCGCGGGTAGGTACCACCACCCTGCGTATTTCTGCCATGAAGCAGTAATGCGTTTCGGTTTGAAGGGTGGGGCAGCCGTTGTAACTGTACTTGAGACCTTTGAACTTATACCTCAAGGTGGGCGGCGCATTTACGTTGTAGATGTCTATGGGCTCCAGTAACCACTTAGCACCAGGCGGGCTGTGAGCTCGTCTACCCATCTTAGCAATAAAAAAAAATATATAGAAGAAATGTACATGTTTCTTCACGTCTCATTTGTCTTCAGGGGTTCTCATCACGGCCATGGCTTTGGTGCTCAAGGGAGGCACGCCGACCAACAAGGATACGACCACAACGCTGCAGCCTTCGGCAGGAACGCCGTGGAAGTCGATGCTGTAAGTCAAACTACGCTTATTTATTTATTACACTTCATGTTAAATTTACATTGGCGGACTTAATGCCTAAGGCATTCTCTACCAGTCAACCAAAGGTAGTGCAGAGTGAATAGTGGTAGGTGCAATGAAATTTATATTAGGTTACAAATACATACACACAAACATACATACATACATATAATACTTTATACAGTATTAAAAAGAATATATTAATAAATTTCCTAACAAATAACTTCATCTTAATAAGTTCATGACGATTCCGCTACCTTAACCCACAACTTTCTTTTTTGCTTATGACGTATTGTCCTCATTATGGATCATTCGCAACCCCTCAAACACATACACCGCAATCGTCAACTGCTTAATCATCACGCAGCTGATACTTTTGGTCGTTTTAGAAGATCACTCTTGTTCTCTTAACATACGGACTTGCTTGCTTAAACGACAGCTTAATTAACATCAATCTATGGAGGGTAGAGGTAAGGAGAGTAGTCTCATATGGGAGAAGCTTGAAAAGGTGTCCCACTTTCAGCACTAAGTAACAGTTCAATCCTCCAGAATGGCGCTAGCATAGGCACAGGGTATGATATGAATTGAGCAGTTGTTAACTGATTGAAGTATGCCTGGTTAGAAAATTTAATATATTTAATGACTAGAGTAGTTAGTGACAGTGTAATATACAAGACCTCACATAATTTCGTCAGTATAACCTAAAATTATCGCTGTGGTAAAACGTGGAGACATCGATTGCATTTTCTTATTATATAGCTTTAAATAAAATACTTTTTGTGATTTTGTAGTGCTTACAGTTCTTACATCCTTTTTTATATCTCTAACTTATTCTAATAACCTCCAGTGTCTTTTTTTAAATTTACCCGGTTGCTACTGTAGCGCCACCTTTATTTAGCAGATTTTAACGGACGCTTTTTACACACAGAGACGGTTCTCCTTACCTCTACCCTCCAAGTTTGAATCTATCAAAATGCAATCATCAAACTGAGAAAATTAAAATCATTACATTTAGAATGACGCGTACAGAAACAAGTGTTGATTACGATTATCTATTTGTAAAGGACAACTGACTAATTGATAAGAGTGATTTTATTTTTTGATGAATTAAATAATCAATGTTGTTATAACAATGTATACATTAATATTACCGTACTTCGGAAATCTGAGTAGCGATTTTGATTAAAATTTACCCGGTTGCTACTGTAGCGCCACCATTATTTAGCAGATTTTAACGGACACTTTTTACGCACAGAGACGGTTCTCCTTACCTTTACCCTCCATACATCAATCATAGACGTGGGACAGAGAAGCAATCTGAATCACCGTGTTAATAATGATCACGCTTTTCCACTGCGCCTCGCCTCATGCTTCGTACCTTCGGCCATCATTCGCTGCCCATTACCGCCCCTCATCATTTGCAGAACGAACCGGCCAACTACAACTTCGGTTATATGGTCAATGACCATTTCGAGGGCACGGAATTCGGGCATCAAGAGGAGAGACACGAGGAACACGCCCAAGGGGAGTATCACGTTGTCCTGCCCGATGGTCGTAAGCAGGTACTCCGTGAAACAATTGCTTCTCGTACATAAAACATCACTCATTAACTTAATTAACTAACATTGGTCCTTCAAACATTTGGTAAATAAAGCGATCGGTATCGGTAGGCAGCGGCTTGGCTTTGCCCCTGGCATTGCTGAAGTCCATAGGCGACGGTAACCACTCACCATCAGGTGGGCCGTGCGCACGTCTGCCTACAAGGGCAATTAAAAAAAGGGATTTATCACACATTCATGGAGGGTTTGTAGGCGTTGCAATGCTATCAGTTAAATAACTTCAACGGACATAGGGATCGAAAAACGATAGGATATCCAGTGTGTAATTCAACAAACCATTAACATTCAATCGTTAAGATAATTGTTGTGTAACGATTCCTATTTGCGCAAAAAATCAAATTTTCAAAAACAAAAGAAAATCGCGTAATTCCAATCGAAAGATTGACCTCAAGTCTCAAGATGTGTGGCGGCAGTCACACTGTGATGCCTATGTGCTTCGGTAACCACTTAACACCAGATGGGCCGTGAACTCGTCCACCCATCTAAACAATAATAAAAGCATATTAACGTTAACGTGGGCTGTTTAAAGCTTAATAAAAAAGTATATTAAATGATGTATTGCTAAGTTTTATTGTGTGTGATATGATCACATTGAATCACCCTGTCTGTATCTGGAATTGCTCTATATCAGTAACACAATCAGAAATCACCCTGTATAGTCAAGGCGGTGCGGCCGGCATCGATTGACGTTTTTACTTCATTCATTTAGAATTCAAATGGCGTATTCACAGAAATGAATCCGAATGAAATTTCTTTAAAATTATTAATATAATTACTTCATCGTAATTTTATTGTTTGTAATTATGATGTTTTCGTATTGAACGAGCCAAGAACGTTTGATTTACTTATTAACAGCAAGATCAAGGTCACAATTTAACAATAAACAAATTGTTATTTTCTTGGGTAGGTACATCAAGATTTGCATGGCGACGGCTCGTAAAAGTAATAGTGAAAATAGAGAATCAAATTCTGTAAGCCCACACTGTGAAAGCGAGGAATCGGGGCGCTGTATTGTTTTCACGCACACATCCCGATTGAAATGCGATCCGAGTTTCTAGCGTTCAAATTGCACGTCAGAGGAAAAGGACAGTCGCCCTTATTGCATGTGTATTGCCTCACAAAAACCCAGAATTACTAAAAGTACTTCGATGACGAAACTGCAAAAAATACTCGAAAATATTATTGATATTCGTTTACATCGTCTCAAACTTTTTCGTCTGTGTGTTGCATGTCGCGTGACGGTCGGCCGCGGAGTAGGGATAAAGTGAAAGGCGCTCGTCAGAGCAGCCAAGGCCAATATGGCGGCACCTATAGTTCGCAGTTGACCGTGTAGTGTATAGACTCCACGCTATTTTGTTTGTTTTTGTCAGTGTTTAATGTAAATGTTGTTTGTCAGAGTTAAATGCCTATAATGTGAAAAAAAGTTTCACTTTTACCGTGGTTTCATAAAACTACACATTCCTTTTTTTATATTTCTAACGCGTGAAAATTCTCGGTCTGTTTAAGGATTAAGTTTAAATCTTTGTTTCAGACCGTGAGCTACCAGGCCGACGAGCGCGGTTTTAAGCCGCACATTTCTTACGAAGAATCCGAGGACGCGCGCTCCGGTTACGACGCGAACGCTAACAATCACGCTGGCTACGACGGTAATGGCGCGAACGGTTTCCATGGCAACCACAACGGCCACGATTCGGAGTCGCATGGCGACTTCTCGCATCACGCCGGCTTCGGACGCAACGGCGAACACGCCCACAATGGGAAATCCCGCAACGGATACTGACCACCGTGTATCCTAGCTTTGTATATTCCGTATTCGATTTAAAGTAAATATGGAAATTGACTTTGAATTTTAAAATAACTCGATGAATAATTGAAACATAGAGAATTATATAGTTCCGATCTTCAACTGAAATTCAAAGTCAAAGTCACGTTTTACATCGAAATTCTATTTATATATGTGGCCGTCAGCGTAAAATTTTTCATAATCATGAATTGCATAATTGTATATTGCAATTTATTTAAAATAAAATAAATTTTGATGCAAACACGGCCTATTCATAGTTTCGCCCATAGATAACAGATGGCTCTGTAATCATTATTTTTGCGCGTATTGTTTTTTTGCCGACTCAAATTCAAAATAATGAAAACGTAAACCTCATTGCTTAAGGCCAGATTAGGCCACTTTTGCGCTGACCGCCTTATATATCATTTTGAATTTATATTTCACACTCCATTCCTGTAAATGTTCTGTATATATGTCAAATAAATATTGAATCACAAACAGTTTTTCCTTTAGTAATTAGTGACAGTATATATGCAATGTCTACGGACTTTACCGCTTAGCATCAGGTAGACTGCGAACTCGTTTACATATCTACGTGATAAGAACAATAAGATATTAGCGCTAGTCTAATTAGGCGGAACATGTATTTCCTAGTCTAACATAAATCATGTTATTGACAAGTTCAATTCAAACATTTGCTTTCGATAAATCATTCTAATTGATATTACAAATTAAAATTACCCGCCCGATTAACTGATTAGATCATTTGTTTGATCTTGATAAGTACTTTTTTGTTCTATTAATTTTGTTAAGGACGACGCAAACATTCTCGCTCTCTATCCGATTCCGATTTTGATTGGTTCACAGCGGGAATAGTGTTTCAATGGGACATCTATTAGATATATAGATAATATTTTCCTATTCGCCTCTATGCTAAATCAAATTAAAGTTCCGAACTGGTACCCGTAGATAATACTTAGATGTCACCAACCTTCAAACATTATGGCTTCGGTTACATTGGCAGTTGTTCTTTTCTTTTTTTTATTGATTAGGACGAGCTCACGGCCCGCCTGTTAAGTGGTTACCGGAGCCTATAGTCATCTACAACGTAAATGCCGCCACCAGCATTGAGAGACATGAGTTCTAAAGTATCACTTTTAACTACAAAACCGAAACCCATTACTGCTTCACGGCAGAAATTGACAGGATGGTGGCACCTACCCGTAAGGACCTAATTTTGTGGGTTTTTAATTTTTATTAACCGATATTATTCCTTCATCGTGGAAGTCAATCGTGAGCATTTGTTAAGTATTTATTTCATTGGAAAATTTGTACTTAACTGCGGGATTCGAACATCGGCGCATCGGTACATACGAATGCACCCGACGTCTTATCCTTTAGGCCACGATGACTTCAAAATTCTGCACCAGTATACTTCGGGGAGAAAAACAGATAGATTGGAGAAGGTTGTCGATTCACAACGACGCTCCAAAGCGTTGGCATTAATGGGCATTGTCTACGATTGCTGTGAAGGGGTCGTGGTGGCATCCGACCTTAGCGCAGAGGCTATGGATGCGAAATTAATAATTTTGACATAATTCAAGCATTCTTAGAATATGGTATGAATTGTCCGTGTTTCGTTTTTTTTAAAACCAAATTAAATTATCCAGAAATTGGACATAGACTCTTAGTTTAGTTTAATCAACAGGCTTAATTAAAACTTTAGCCTCTTCAGGAAACTTGGCATCCAACCCAACCGGGTTTCCCACCTCTCCTGGTTGAGCCTTTACTCACCCACTGTCCTAGTGAAACTAGAAACGCCTCCGGGCCACTGGTAATTCTTCAATCATAAAAAAAGGAAATTGGCACATATTAATATGTTTGGTTTTTTTTCTTTATCTACTCATATATTTAACTCTACGCTAAATGGCCATAACGCGTATATGAAGACATAATATTTTTTTATTTATTAAAAAAAAATACTTATTGATTTGTTTTCTATAATATATAAAGTAAAAATTTGAAGTCGTCGTGGCCTAAAAGATAAGACGTCCAGTGCATTCGTGTTGAGCGATGCGCCGGTGTTAAAATCCCAGACGGGCACCAATTTTTCTAATGAAATACGTACTTAACAAATGTTCACGATTGACTTCCACGGTGAATGAACAAAATCGTGTATTAAAAATCAAATCCGCAAAATTATAATTTGCGTAATTACTGGTGGTAGGACTTCTTGTGAGTCCACACGGGTAGGTACATCGATATATATCGATGGGTAGGTATCACCACCTTGCCTATTTCTGCCGTGAAGCAGGAATGCGTTAAATAAGCGGGGTAGTGGTTTCTCCCCGCCTATTTACATAAGACGCCCTGTCTCCAGTCACTATTTCGCGTCACAAATAAGCACGGCTGGACCTCGCTGTCTTGTGAAGCGATACTACTAAACATTAAGTTTCATCCACTTACCTACCTTAAGCCCTAACCGATTATCCATCATCCACCGTTAAATCTAACATTATTTTTTTTTCAATTCAAAGCAACCTTGAAATCCCTTCCGCTTAATCAAACAAGAATTGCACAATGATAATTAACTCTAAAATCAATATTTGATTTATCTATCAAGGCCTCCTAATTGTTTGATCTATATTTAAGGATTAGTATAAAAACTGAGATTTAACGATTATCAGACATCATTAGTTTTACAGATCTCATTTAACAATACAAAATGAAGGTACGTAGTTAATTCTTGTATTAAAAATATCGTAATAAAAAAAAACCTTAAAAATATCGTTTGACTATGACGCGTATCGAATTTTTTCAAATTTATTTTTAAAATTTTTGTAAATTTTGCTTTTAAATTTACATTATTTTTGTGTTTTTTTTTGGGTTAATAATCCAAAATCCTATGTTTGAGTAGTGAAACCTTAAACGATAGGTTTATTGATATACTTACTACGTATGTAAAATAATTGAATTTTTTTTTTCTATTTCTTAAATGGGTGGAGGAGCTCACAGCCCACCTGGTGCTAAGCGGTTACTGGAGCCCATAGACATTCACAAAGTAAATGCGCCACCCACCTTGAGATATAAGTTCTAAGATCTCAGTATAGTTGCAACGGCTGCCCCACCCTTCAAACCGAATCGCATTACTGCTCACGGCAGAAATAGGCGGGATGGTGGTACCCACCCGCGCGGACTCACAAGAGGTCCCACCACCAAATTAATATTTCTATTATTGTTTTATGTTAGTAATTAAATTTAACTTATAGCATTTTTTTGTTCAGATTACAATCGCTTTCGTATTGGTCCTCGGATCCGTGTCAGCTCTCGGCTCAGGACCTTATCTGCCCAGCGGCTGGAAACCAGACGGACCAGCTTTTTATCTTCCATCCGAAACTGAGGTATACTCCACGGACGCTTGTGCTCTTCCATTAAACAAAAATCGACCGTAATCATTGCACCTCAAGACTCAGATTCATTTACATTTCCATTTTCACTTTGATGATGACAGTTATAAAAAAAAGTAATTTCTAAACAAATGCTAATTATAATAACTCTTCGCTCATTAGAAAACAAAAGTTAATCATTCGACATATAGACGAGACAGTGGTACTCAACTTGTTTATCTTTGCGTAATTATATATTTATTTATTTGGGAAACCAACAGTACAATACAAACTTAAAATATTTAAAAAAATAGTTAAAACAATAACCAAACATGTTTCCACCATTAAAATCACATATAAGTAGAAAGTGAACAAAGGAAGAAAAAAAATTTAGAGAAATTTAGAAATTTAAGTTTACACAGAAAAACAAAAGCAACACACACACAATACGCACATATTATTATGTACTCCAACTTACACTAAAAACATTAATAATACTCATAAATTCTTTATTTTTTAAAAGATTTTATGACCTGGTAACTAAGACTTTTAAGTCAAGTCTTATTTTAATACTCATAGATTATGTGTTATTATGTACATAGATTAGGTGGGTGAGTTCTGGGGGTTTTGTGTATAATGTGTGTGCTTGCAAAGACCGATGTTTCGATGGGCGGACTTATCTCCCAAGCATAGAAATATCAGCATGAATGTCGACACTCGTTGTAAAATACACGATTTACTGGCGAAAGCATTAGTCAGAGGGGAGTTTAAGTAGGATAGCGGAGCTTGGCCGGGAAAACGCTAGAAAAAAGAAGAAGAAGCATCGTATCATCCTGCCTATTTCTACCGTAGTCATACGACATTTCGACTTAATGTTTCATGGTCACATCAAATTCTCATTTTGATGTTTATAGTCATGTCTACTTAGCACCAGGCGGGCCGTAAGCTCGAAAAACCATCAAACCAATAAATGAGGCCGTCAGCGCAAAAGTGGCCTAACCCACAATTTTAACCCAAAAACTGATCTATCCATAGTTTCACCCATTGATAACAGATGGCTTTGTAAACATTATTTTTGTGCGTATTGTGTTTTTGCCTACGCAAATTCAAATTCATGAAACTTATACCTCATTGTTTCATAATAACTATGCTACTGCTCAGGCCACTTTTGTGCTGACTGTCTGTCATAAGAAATAGATATGATGACCTAAGAAGATATTCTATAACGCATGTATTTCCTCAACTATCTCACCTCAAGGCTTTACTGATCTGACCTGTATTTTCAGGGTAGATCGCATCAAGCGCCTGAAGTGTTGAATATTAGGCCGAGCTCATATCTTAGCTGGTCAATATAATATAAAATGCTACTAATAAACCTTGTTAAATTTCAGGTAAAACCAGATAATCCTCTGAAAGAAGTTCTGTACCAAGAAACTGAGGCGTCGGGCTCCGAGGGTCTGCGCGAGTATGGTCCTCCCAAGGTGGAGATCAACCAGGGTCTTCCTGATGAAGTGACTGAACAGCTCTTCTCTTCTGAAGTCGTAGAAACTAAATCCGAAGTGGCCGTGGAAGAAAAAGAGACTATTACTGAAGGTAAGTCTTGTCAAATCAAAAAGGGTTTTTATGTTATTCAGAGCAAACATTTAATTAAATGTAGAGCGTCCAGATAGTGAATTCACTATCTGGACGCTTTCAGTGTAAGCTTAAAACAAAAATAAAAAAAATGTTACGTGGTTACTTCGTATGAGGTTCGGCACTGCCCAAAAAAAAACATATTCCCACCACTTCGAGCCACTTCGAACTTTGTGCCATCATTTACGGCAACGGCCGTCTGGTGTAGTGGTAAGTGACATGGTCACTACACAAGGGGGTCGCGGGTTCGAATCCCGCCAAGGGAAGATATTTGTATGATAAATATAAATGTCTTTTCCAGGGTTATGGATGTCTATTAAATATATGTATGTGTATAATAAAAATCTTACATTTATATCCGTTATTTGGTACCTGTAACACAAGTTCTTTACGAACTTATCACGGGACCAGTTAACGTGGCGTGATTGTTAGTAAATATTTATTTAATAACTTAGGCAATGCGGCGGTCAAATCAAATCGTCGACAATGAAGGTGTATATTTACATTGGCTAGTTAGTATTCGTCTAATGTAAATTCGACCATCATCACAGACAACTCAAGATTAAGATTCGTATACATTTCATTTTCATTGTTTTGCTTTCGACATTATTGTCAATTGGGAATAAAGAGTTTTTATATTATGACCTTATTACTTCACTTTAAATTGCAGTTGTAGTAGAAGAAAAGGCAGTTGAAAAAGAAGAAGTTGCGGTCACTGAATCCGCAGTTGCTGAGGAAGGAAAGGCAGAACAGACGGAGTCAGTGGACGCTGGCTCCGTGGAAGTTGCAGTCACTGAGACTACTGTTGTTCAGGAAGAAAAGAAGACAGAACAGGTGGAGGCAGTTGAAGCTGAGGCTGTAACTGTTGCAGTAACAGAGTCTGCTGTTGTTGTTGAAGAAAAGAAGGTAGAGCAGGACGATTCGGTTGTAGCTGCCGCTGTAGATGCTGGAGTCCAGGTTGCAGTTGAACAAGTCACTAGTGCTTCTGTGGGTATTTTATTTTGAAAAATGACTCAACTGGATGTGGCTTAGCTGAGAAGCAGTGATACATTTCGGTTTGAAGGGAGGCTCAGTTGTTATGCTAATTAATTGAAGCTTTGACCTCATGTCTCAAGGTAGACGCAGCATTCACATTGTGATGTCCTTCATCCATCTATGCAATAAATTAAACTTCAAACTTAGACAGTAAATCGAAAGTTTCTCAGACCCATAGTTAATTTAAGCTAAGTTACTACTTATGACATGTATGTAGGTTATTTAATTATTTTTTTAGCAGAAATATAAAAAAAATCATCTTTAAAACCAGTACAGAGTTTGAAGTAAAAAAAACTAAATAAATAAAATAAAAATCAAATGAAACTGCATAACGAATAATTAAACTAGATAGCCGAAGTCGCAATTGAAAAATGACAATGAAACAAATGCGCCGGAATCACCTTAAAAACAATTGATCACATTAAATCCAAGCTTATCCTTAAACAAACTATACTTGTTTTAGGCTGAAGAGAATGCAATACAACAAACCGAAGAGGCAACTGAAAATCTGGAACAAACGATAACCGCTGAAGTCACAACTGACACTGTAAAGACAACCGTCGAAGAAGTCACTGAGGCTGTATTGACAGTAGCAAACGAAGAATCACAGCAGAACATAGTTGAGCAAACCGTCAAAGAGAATACCGAATCAAAAGTCGTTGAACAGACTGTCGAAGTCAAAGTTGACACGACCGACTCCGTAAATGCCGAGCAGGAAATAAAAACTGTAGAAGAAGGCATCAAGAATATAGCTGAGGCTCTAGTGATTCTCGAAAATGAGGTCAAAGCCGAACAGGTGAGATCGTAGACTCAATAATTCTTCTTCTTAGTCGAATACTTCATTGCTGAAGGTCGTGTCCTTGAAAGCCCTTCGTGGCTCTTTGTACCCTCAGCTTCCATTTGCTTCGGTTTTCGGCTTCTCTCAGGGCGTTCGCAACAGCGAGTCCAGTGACCGCAGTTATCTGATCCGACCAACGGTTTGGTGGCCGGCCGGCGGGTCTTTTCCCTTCCACCTTGCCCACCACAATCAATCTTTCAAGGTTGTCTGGTGGCCGTCGAGCAATATGACCAAAGTAACCAAGAACTTTCTGGTAGCAAATCGTCGACAGTCTCGTTTCTATACGAAGTTGCTCGAGGACACGGTATGCTACCAAGATGAGACTAGTCCGGACGTTGGTTTTCTCGATTTTCCTGCATGGTGCAGAGTCGTGGACTCAATAATACTTGACTCAATAAGACCTTGAATAACTAACATATAGTCTTATAGTCTAATCTGGCGTTAAATTCATTTTCATTTCAACAAATTAATTTTCTTTGAAGTTTATCTCTTAAAATTTAGGTGTATATAATAACGTATTATAAAGAACTATTTTGTAAAATGATATTTTTTAATGCAATAATAATTTTACGAAACATTAATAGACGTTAGCCTAATATTCTAAAGGCAACAGTCGTCTGGTGACCATCGAAACTATATAAATTAAATAAAATGCCAGAAATAATAAACCGCAAAATTAGTTTGAATTATTTCTATGATTCACGCAAAACCAACAGCGAGACCTAATATACACATAATAATATATGGTTTCTAATATACCATATATTTATCATTTCTAAATGAAACAAGAGGGCTTTTCATCTTTTTGTAAATTATGCAGACAAGTGAAATCTGTACGATTTAAGAAATTTTCGTCATGTATAAATTATACCAGAAGTATACTTAGTGTCGAGATGTCTATTGCAGAATAAGCCGTGACCGAATATTTAACTCTTACTACAAAGATTGTAATCATTAATTAACATAATAGAGTACATTTTTACTATCTATTCTCACCGCAGGTCGCCACTGAAGTTCAAAAATCGGACGAAGTTTCAAGGTAAGTGACATTTTCTTTAACTGCTTAGACTGGTAGACGAGTTCACGGCCCGCCCGCTGTTAAATGCTTACCGGAGCTTATCTTGAGGCATGAGTTCTAAGTCTCTGTTTTTAATAATGCCACGGCTGCCCCACCCTCCGAAGGCGTTACTGCTTCGCAGTAGAAATTGGGGCAGTGTTGGAACCTACCCGTGCGGGCTCATTAAATACCCTACCCTTTCTATAAAATGGATCTATCACCTGTCGCGGAATTTCATTGGATGTAGGTAGCATTGGACCAGTCATTATGGCTAACGTTCAAAGAAGCTTATATCCGGCTGTGGACGTCCTTTGAATAATGATAATATAATTGTAAGCACAGACTTTTTTTCCTACCATTGCTGATAGCCTTGAGAGGCTATATCAGTTTCGTCCTAACGTGTAGGTAAGCTCACGGGGCTCAAACCGGAGTGTTGCTAACACTGGCCCTAGCAAGAGCAGTGCTTCGCAGAATCTACCACCGGATCGGAAACGCGACCTATTGAGAAGATCCGGCGAGAAACTCAGTGGGCTGTGTCTGTAGGTTAATTCGCTCGTCGAGCCCTTCTTCGCGAGCGACGGGTTCAACGAGAACGGTGATCAGAGAACACAGATCAATTAACGAGTCGTCATATCAAACAGCCGTATTGGGTTTTCGAGTATGTTTTGAATTGGCTTGCGGCTTGAGGCCAATAGCCTGAAATAATAAGGCTAGAACTATTAAATCAAGCTATGTAAACTGGAGAGTGTTTCCACGGCCGGAAAAATTGTAATTGGTAGACTGAGTTCATTTGGAAGTTAGACGGCTTAAAGAATAATTTTAATGGCAGTTTATGTCATGAATGTGCCTATCAGAACCAGTTGTACGAGTCTTTTCATTTATATGCAAATTGTTCTCGAATTTTCCAATCTGCATTATTTTTCCAGTAACGCTGAAGTCCCGATTGGCTTTCTCGAATACGGTCCCCCCGGCTTCAGGGAGTACGGGCCACCCAAAGGGGATGAGCTGTTGAGGACTGTCGTTCAGGTAAGACAAAAAGCGCCCTATGAATGAATGAATGTATGAATGGTGAATGAATTAATGATTTATTTTATTTCAGACAACAAAAAGTTCATATGTATACATAGTATCATTGAAACTTACTTAAAATTAACAAAACCAATCAAATAAAAAGATACATTTATAAAAAATAATTATGTCCGGACCTTTGCACATTACAGTAATGTTGTCCTATAATACGTATTGGTTTTACAGGAATCATTGAGCCTCCAGCCCTTAGCCAGCAACGAGCTTAGGAAGCGTCGCTTCTCTCCTAAATTCAGGTAGCTATACTCCGAATAAACGGATTTTTTTTTGATACATACTTAGTTTAAGCATGTAAATACCGCTTGGAAAGTAGAAGTCGATCCCCCCATCATAACCACGGGGGTCCTAAGGCCACAAATTACCGGATAATTTGTCGCAACTTTCTATGAATTTTGGGTGGACGAGCTCACGGCCCACCTCATGTTAAGTGGTTACCGAAGCCCATAGATATCTACAAATTAAATGTCGCCACCTAGCTTGAGACATGAGTTCTAAGGTCTCAGTTTTTAGAGCACAACGGCTGTCCCATCCTACGAACCAAAACACATGACTGCTTCACGGCAGAAATAGTATATAAGTTCTTTAAGTAATTTATCGTAAATAATAACCAAAGACCCAAAGAACCACAAGAAACCAAGCAGTACCGATCTTATAGCTCTATTGTCGAGAATTCATATGGGGATTTTTATGTTTTCGTCCCACTGATAACGGTTACATGATACACCGATCTAAAAAGCTTGCATATAGTGTGTGCTTTCAAACAAAAGTTTGTTACGTCCATAATATTAATTTCAAAGGTTTCTAGTTATTATTTGTACTTGTTTCAGGTCAACTAAGAAGCACTGAAGATATCAAAACGAATTTCAATCACATTAATCGATTTACAGTATTACGTAATTCAGTTATATTATTGTATAATTTCATTTATGAACAAAATGTACTTTACAGCTAAATAAATATGTGAGAAGATTCCGTAGAAAGCGATATTGTGTATCAAAAGAGACAATACAATATTATAAAATCGACAAAAGCGCAACTGACTTAGTAAATGCCGGTTTAACTAAGCTTACGCTGGCGTCCCAAAGATGGCCGCTTGGCGCCAAATTCACAAATTATCTGTCAAAAATGAAATTAGTATGAATTATCACAAATAATTTTTGTAATCTAACCTGTATTTCTGGGATTTGATTAAAAAGGAGAAATAATTCTTAGACGCGGCTTCGCATACTGCCATGATTTAGCATAGATAATTAATAGTATTGTAATCTTTTAGGTAAATGTATTTTTACAACACGATGAATAAAAAAAATAAAAAAAATACTAGTAAAGGTTTTCAAACTACAGTAGTAGGTAGTGAAAATGGAAAATGTAATCTATCAAGTTTTTTTTGGTTTCTCGTCGATCTAATGATATAACGCATATTTATTTCTTCACCCTAAGACATATGAGACGTGCAAAAATCGATTGATTGGCACAGTGTTGCCTATTTTTGAGAAAAAAAACTACCGAGTAAACGGTAACTGAAATTTTCTTTGTGAAAATTAAAATAAAAATCAGATTTAAAAAAAATCAAATCTTATTCGATAATGTGAAGAAATAAAAAAAGTATTGTATTTTTGATAAAATGTTTCCAAAATTAATTTAAGTGGATCGTTTAAACGTTGTCCAATATTTATCCTTGCTCTTTTTTAACGGAATATTAAATATTATTGTCTTTAAAATATGATTAGATAAGTGTATGATTAAAAGAATAGATTTAATAAAGCTTTGCAAAGGATTTTGAAAAATTTTTTAATGACCTTATAGACAGACGAGCATACGGCCCTCACCTGATGATGGGTGGTTACCGTCGCCCGTGGACATCAGCAATGCCAGAGACTAAGCCAAGCTGCTGCCTGCCGTTAGGTACTCTCCACAAGCCTCGTTTGAAAAAGAACATGTTTGTTCAAGAAATGTCAGTTTCCTGAGAAAATCAATGATTTTCCCGAATGTTCTGCCGGTAGGTAGGAACGATCTGCCTATTTCTATTATTGCCCCTGTAGGCAGACGAGCATACGGCCCACCTGATGGTGAGTGGTTACCGTCGCCCATGGACTTCAGCAATGCCAGGGGCAGAGCCAAGCCGCCGCCTACAGCTTAATATTCTTCACAAGCCTCGTTTGAAAGAGGACATGTCATAGCGCTCGGGAAACACCGTGGAGGGGAGCTCATTCTATAGCCGGATGGTACGTGGCAAAAAAGATCTCTGGAAACGCACTGTGGACGAACGCGGTGGCTCCAGGTATGCCCTCAAACAGTGGGACAGCGCTCACATAATTGACCCTTTGATTTTTTGTCACCCATTTATTATATTATAATTTATTTTTACTAATATATAGATCTACAGAGGTTTTTACGGATGTTCCGTTATAACTACTGAACCATCCATCCGATTGACTTGAAACTTGGTATCCGTGTAGAAAATACACGTACTTAATGGATAGGCTAATATTTATATGAGTGTTTGACTCCCTAATGATAATGACAATAAATAATAATGTTAATTTTAAATGTCCACAGCAAGGCGGGCGAGTACGGCTAGCTTATCCGTAAAATCAAATTTCAAAATAAAACAAAATTTCCATCAGAAAAATTTATTGTTTAAAAAAAGGAACATATAAAACAAAAAAAAAAAACTTAAACAAAAACTAATATTAAAACTAGATGTTAAAGAAAGAGATTATTAAAGTGATTTATGGCACACCAAAACAAAACATTGAAAAACAGTTATAATTTTTACTTATTGCTTGGGTGGGCGGACGAGCTCACAGCCCTGGTATTAAGTGGTTACTAGAGCCCATAGACATCTACGACGGAAATGGGCCACCCACCTTGAGATATAAGTTCTAAGGTCTCAGTATAATTACAACCATTCAAACCGAAACGCATTACTGCTTACTGCTGTGTGCCTAGTGTGAGTTTCTTAACGTTTTCGATACGTAAAAGTTAACTCAAATTTGTATGCAGTTGGAACAGCGCCCCTAGCGGCAAACGTAGGCAAACGTTCCAACTCCATACAAATTTGAGTTAACTCTTACGCTATCGAGAACGTTAAAAGTCTCGCACTAAGCACACAGATGCATGGGCACGTGTACTATTTTTGGCGCGAACGTTGAAAAAAATCCTAACCTCAAATTAATGATTTCGTTCGTGTATTAATATATCGAATAATTTACCACGAGTATCGACCACATCCGTACAAAAAAAAAACCACAAATTTCCTGCTTTAAGAGGCTACCATTAAAACACTTTTCTCTGAACTAGTTTTGTTCGCGTATTTAAATTCTAAGTGACGATAAATTGGAACTTGATTGATGAAACATTATCTTTTTTTTAAATTCGACACACACTACATATATGAAAATGAAATACAGTCATTAAAGGATTTTAAGGATGAAACAATATAAGTGATTGTTACGTTTTGAGTCCGGACGTGTACCAAAATCATGCCTATTGACAGCCACGAAGCAGTCAAGCACTTCGAACGGTGGGTTATCTGGTATTATTACGTTTAAAACTTCGATTTAAAATGGAAAGGTGTACGACGCCATTTTTATATCCGGCGCCATTTTTATGTCTGGCGCCATTTTTATATTTCTTTTTGTCTTGTAAACAAAATCATTTATAACTGTGCTAATCTTTATGAAATCAAAGAATATTCTTTAAATTAAATCTAAAACTCACATCGTTTGAGTTGTGAGAGAGATCTGATTAAAAATAAAAACAATGGTCTTCGCTTCTGATACAGTAGATTGGGAGAATAGAAACTGGTGTTAGAAGAGGGACAAATCTGGGAAGTCACAATACTTTTGTTGAGTTATTAGATTTAACTTTGTTGAACTGAAAATGATTTTTATTTAGTGTTTAAGAATACTCGTTTTACTGGTGGTAGGACCTCATGTGAGTCCGCACGGGTAGGTACCACCACCCCGCCTATTTCTGCCGTGAAGCAGTAATGCGTTTCGGCTTGAAGGATGAGGCAGCCGTTGTAACTATACCGAGACCTTAGAATTAAAATATCTCAAGGTGGGTGGCGCATTTACGTCGTAGATGTCTATGGGCTCCAGTAATCACCAGGTGGGCTGTGAGCTCGTTCATCCATCTAAGCAATAAATAAAAAAAAGGGTCCGGTTTTCCCTTAATCTACGGTAAGTAATCTTCTACACCGTAATCATAGAATACACATATTTAAGACTCTTAAATGTTTTTCCCCGGAAGACGCGTTAACACCAACTGACACCGACAGACTAAACAATGCCATGACGTAAATAAACCAGACCGACATTAGTTTAATAATTAATTTCCACATACATTTGTAGAAGTCACTACGCTAAAATTAAAACCGGTAGCCTGTATTATCCGACATTACATTATGATTGCTGTTGGAGTCGAAGTTAACCGATACCTTTAGATAACGTTTATATGACGCTTAGATGACCTCAAGATGACGCTTAGCTTCGCATTTCTAGTGCTGCGCTTGCTTCGCCTAATCCTTCTCGGCGTTGATAACGAATCTTCGCCTGTAAAAGGAGATAGTTATTAGACAACCGTATACAAGGAAAAACGTGGTGGAACGCTAATTCTTTTTCAGCCAACACTGAAAGGGTTATTTAAGGCATAGCCTATAGTTAGATCAGCGTTACCCTATCGTGTAGGTGAGCTTTCGGGGCTCAAACCGGAGGTGTTGCTAACACTGGCCCTAGCAAGAGCGCTTCGCAGAATCTACCACCGGATCGGTAACGCGACCCAATGAGAATATCCGGCGAGAAACTCAGCGGTCTGTGCCTATGGGTTAATTTACTCGCCGAGCCCTTCGTCGCAAGCAACGGGTGCGACGAGAACGATGACCGGTGCTTGAGGTGCCTAAAAGCACCGTTAGCGGATCGGGAGGATCCGTAATGACGTGTTTAGGGTGACGTCGACTGTTTACCATTCAGTCTGCAGGATCGGGTATGGACGTACGTATTTGTGGTCACATACGACAGCAGTTGAGATAAGTCGGAAATATTCAACAGGAAAATGTAAACTCGTGATGGAAAAAAAAATGGTGCGCGTGCAACTTGGTGCACGTGAAAGAATTGAAACTTCTTTTGCGGTGCGTAGTATTGCGGTTTTCTTCATTTTTCATCCTTAAATCAAATTTCTATTGTAACAGTGAATATTCTGCGTATAAAAGAAATGACCTAGCACGCTTTGTCCTTTTCCTCTCTCCACGGTCGAGTGGTTCGCGAGACGCTCTGTCTATTTTCTCACTCTCGCTCTGCCTAAATTGTATGTTTTGTCTCTACCCGTAACGGTACTGGTGGTAGGACCTCTTGTGAGTCCGCACGGGTAGGTACCACCGCCCCGCCTATTTCTGCCGTGAAGCAGTAATGCGTTTCGGTTTGAAAGGCGGGGCAGCCGTTGTAACTATACTGAGACCTTAGAACCTATATCTCAAGGTGGGTGACGCATTTACGTTGTAGATGTCTATGGGCTCCAGTAACCACTTAACACCAGATGGGCTGTGAGCTCGTCCATCCAATTAAGCAATAAAAAATATAAAAAAAAACGAATCTGTCGCGAGTTGAATTTTACTCTCAACGCGCCTAAAGAATTTTTACTTCAAATAAAAAGACATTGTCTCTGCACAAGTAATACTACTTTTAGATAAATTAACTAGGTACAAACTAATAGTCATTTAAAGCTATTCATAATTGAGACCGTCAGCGCAGAACTGACCTAACCCACATTTTTTCATATTCGTGCTTACATGTACATATATTGCAATTAATTTAAAACATAATAAATCTTGATGCAAAACCGCCCTATCCATAGTTTCACCCATAGATAACTGATGGCTTTGTAAACATTATTTTGGCGGCGTATTGTTTTTGGTCAAGTGGTAGTGTAAAAGTAAATCAAAACCTCATTATCTCCATACAAACTGTGGTCATTTTAGGCCACTTTTGCGCCGACAGCCTCAATAATTATAAAGGGTTTAATAAATATCTTACTTTTAATTAGAGATGTTGTTTCCCAATCGATTCTGTAAAATGAAACAGTGATTTAGTCGAAAGATTTTTGTTTGCTGTAATGGCGACACGAGTCCGCCGCTGACGGAGTCCATAGACATCAGTACGAGAATCTCATCCGCCTCGACATGAGGAAAAAAATAATAATATTGTTTTTTTATGACCAAAATAACGAAAGTAATTTATTTCAGTAATAACACCGTATCTTTAAACAACAAAAAAATGGGTTATTTTTTGAACCTGTCTGTAGGTAAGGAATTGAAACTGAGCTAATTCAGGTAACCGGTTAAATTTAATTTTTTTTTTTTTGATTGAAAGATTAGTGGTGGCCCGGAGGCCTTTTCAGCTTCACCAGGACAGGTGGGCGAGCAAAGGCTCAGCCAGGAGGGGTGGAATTTGCTAACAACTGCCCGAGCGCCTCCGAAGGAGACCTAACAACTCAAGAGCAATTGCTTCGCGAATGAATCGCGACCCACAGAGAAGATCCGGCGAGAAACTCAGCGGGCTGATGCATGGGTTAGGTTGCACGTCGACCTCTTTGTCGAGTTCGACGAGTACGGTTACCGGGGTTCCTCAGCCTGCTCCTAGTGTTAGAGCTGAAGGTATCTAATGCAAGAGTTATTGGATCTGATGGATCCGCAAGGACGTGTCTAGGGCGACGACGGTGACTTGCTCCTGCGTGATCAGGATTCGGGGAGTAATCAGCGGCGGCAACGATAAGGCAATTATCATGACGCATAGCTAAATTTAAATATAAATTGGCTACCTAAGCCTATCGGTTAGCTAGCTAATTAATTTAGCTAACTTTTTTAGCCGGCTTGGCCGGTTAAATTATACAGCCCTATATAGAATAGGTGCATGTTAAAATTTACTCACATTATTTTTTCATCTTCATCTATCTTCTCGGGCAGGTGGTCGGGTTTAATCTTTATCTGAAAGTCCGATCTGGTGCACAATGCAAATATTATTACCATATATATTATAAACTAGCGACCCGCCCTCGCTTCGCTTCGGAAACATTAAAACAAACATGAAACCAAAAAAAAAAAAAAAAAATTAAAAAAAGTAGCCTATGTTCATCAGGGACAATGTCGGCTTCTAATGGAAAAATAATTTTTCAAATCGGTCCAGTAGTTTCGGAGCCTATTCGAAACAAACAAACAAACAAATATTTCCTCTTTATAATATTAGTATAGATATGTAAAGGAACTGTACCTCTTTAAATTACATTTATACAGTACTCTATGGCTGTTAAATAATCACTGGTGGTAGGACCTCTTGTGAGCGGGGTAGGTACCACCGCCCTGCCCATTTCCGCCGTGAAGCAGTAATGCGTTTCGGTTTGAAGAGTGCGGCAGCCGTTGTAACTATACTGAGACCTTAGAACTTATCTCAAGTTGGGTGGCGCATTTACGTTGTAGATGTCTATGGGCTCCAGTAACAACTTAACACCAGGTGGGCCGTGAGCTCGTACACCCATCTAAGCAATAAAAAAAAACACTTCAGAATTAATAAACAATAAAAGACTTAATTGCAATACAACTAAACGACTTAAGTATAGTTACAATGTCGTTTCTTTGTTTTCAGGTGAGATACCAATTTTATGTTTACAAGTGTAATTGTACTAATTACTCTTGTGTACGTTTTACGTTATTGAAATAATTAATCTTTGTTTTCAGAGCAACGCCATTGTTTATTTCAAACTTACAATTCCTAAGACAAAAATAGAAGAGTGAAAAATCTTTATTATTTAAAAGTCTATAATTTAAAAAAAGGATTTTTCTTCAGTGTCATTTAGCGTCATGAAGTAAAGTCTTCATTCAGTAAAAATAGAGTTGAGTTTTGTATAGTTTATTAATACGCTTAACTGTTTAATTTTTAATATTAATTTTAAAATGTGTTTTTTAAATGTTCTTATCTTATTATGTAACAGAAATTGCAATTAAGTCTATTATTGTTTGTTAATTCTGAAGTACTCCATATCAGATAGATATTTGTAGGCAGCGGCTTGGCTCTGCCCTTTGGCATTGCTGATGTCCATGAGCGACGGTAACTACCATCAAGTGGGCCGTATGCTCGTCTGCCTATAAAGGCAGTGACATTAATTTATATACCAGATCGCGTTTCCGATCCGGTGGCAGATTCTGCGAAGCACTGCTCTTGCTAGGGCTAGTGTTAGCAAAGTCCTCAGGTTAGAGCCCCGCGAGACGTCGTTGAGTGACAGTAACCACTTACCATCAGGTGAGCCGTATGCTCGTCTGCCTACATGCAATAAAAAAGTAATTAGTAATTCGTAATGATCTGTAGTAAATGAAAATCGGAAACTTACTGCTTATCATAAATATTTCTAGTTTTGGGTATGTCGCTCCTGTGGACAAAGAAGTCTGTTATCGTTACTTGAACAGAATATATAAGAATAATAATGCGGAATTCTAGAATAAAATTGCGAATTACGATTCATCATCCATTCTCCTGTCCTTCTCCTAGTCACCTAGGGTTATTCATGTCTGTAGACAAAACCCATGGAGTACATTGTCTCCCGCAGGTAACTCGAGGAAAGACCCAATTATGATGAGCCAGCAAAAAAAAAATATATATGTCAACTTAACTTGATTTTGTTTTATTTGAGCTAAATGATATTTTATTTACAATTATTTATTTAAAGTATAAACCAAAATTGACCTCAACGAACATTAATACATACTCTACGTTGTCTTAAAAATGATCTTCTATGAGTCTACTAGCGTATAGTGCTCGATTATTTTTTTCGGCAAATTCATTTATTCTTCTAAGTAGGTTAGTTAGGTCATTAGATTAGTTAAGTTCATCATCATTATCCTGCCCTTCTCCCAGTCACCTGGGGTCGGCGCAACATGTCTTCTCCTTCCATACTCCTCTATCATATACCATTACTTCGCTCACTCCCCTCTTACCCACATCGTCTTTCACGTCAATCCATCCATTTCTTCTTAGGTCTACCTCTTCCTATATATCCTTCTGGACTTTTTGGCGGGAACGCGAGGAGTGAAGTTGTGTGATTTGTTTTATTTTGTCTATTTAGTGTTTCTTCAGGTTTAAATGTGTAATAATGGTGGTTTATTAACTGTTTAATATCTGTGAAAGTGCACAAATGTGGGAAAATGAAAACAAAGCCGCTGGACGTAACTTCTCGGGATCCTCCAAAAAGTCCACTGAAAAAATCTTAGTAAATGACCACCATTTCACTGAGATTATATTTCATCTCATATCATCTAATTTATTTGATCCCAGTTGATTAAGGTCTCAAATTAATCATCTTCATTTCATTTCACTCCATAATATCAGTTTTCATAAAAATATGAATATACATTAAAATAAGACGTAATTGGCACCCAAAATTGTTCTATATTAGTACGTTTAAGGTTTTAAAGCAATCAGGTAAACGACATGAGAACTCTTTGATATAATAAGTGTATAATCTATGCTCTTTGTATTGGGAACAAAACAAACAAACCTAAATACACTTTTTATATGAAAGTGTAATCTGACGTTGGAATCATAGAATTTCATGTCAAGAACTATTGAAGTCAGTAAATCAACGATTCCAACGATCCTATTTAAATTCTAAATTTCATTTATATTGTAATTAGTACAGTATTACTGGTACACTTTCATCATTTATTACTAACAAGCTGATTTTTCGTGAGTAGCTACCTTTTGACTAGACGCCCAACTTTTTTCTTTACAGTAACGTTGGTAAATGGTAGCTTACTAGCTGTAGAAGAATAAAATATATGTTGATTTCACGAATTTTAAAAATTTATTACTAACCGATTTTTTTTTGTGTTAATTATCGAGATAATTATCTAAATAACGTGAAAAAATATTTGTCCTACAAAATATAAGGTTTTGTTAGCGAGTCCCCCCTCTCCAACATGTATCATAAACAAGGTCATGAAAACTAATTACTAACCAGCAGATTTTTTTTTATTGGTTAGCTCTTATTTGCATAGTTTACCAGCCACATTGTCTTACAAATTGCGTGGTATGTCATCTTGGTCCTACGCTCGAAAGTTGTAGTACTAATACTTAATGTAAAAATAATTACTATCAAGCTGAATGTTCGAGAATAGCTTCGTTGCAATGAGACGCCCAACTAATTCTTGTACGAAAATTCTCGATTGTGGTTTATAACTAAGATAATAGGGATGAAATATGTTGTTTTTACGAATTTTTTTTTTATTACTAACCGATTTTTTTTTCTGTTAATTATCGAGATAATTATCTAAATAACGTGAAAAAATATTTCTCCTTTAAAATATATACGGTTTTGTTAGCGAGTCCCCCCTCTCCAATATGTATCATAAATAAGGTAATGAAAACTAATTACTAACTAGCTGATTTTTTTTTATTGGTTAGCTAGCATTTGCATAATTTACCACCCACATTGTCCTAAAAATTGCGTGGTACGTTATTCCAGTCCTCCAGTTACATAGTTGAAATTAATGTAATTAAAAATAATATTATTTCGTACATTTCGCTATTGGAGCTGAAGCCCACTATTATCCTTGCCCACAAATGTATGCGCACAGCATTGTTTACTGTGATCATGACCACGTAAAGTTGTTTTTAGTCAACCTCGTATTTTATTTGTCTTTCAAAAAATAATTTGAATAGTAATCTGTGCTGCAAAAATATAATAATGGAATGTTTTTTGTGTATGTAATTTGTTATCTGAAAATAGAGATAACAGAGAAAAAAATAATAGAGATATGGCTTTCTTGTAAGAAATGTTATCTGCTCGAAAGCAACACAAATATTGTGATGTTGTATTGTCTGAAAGTTGGGGTGATGTAATAATAGGTTATCATTCCTGTTGTTACAAGGAATTTAGAGTAAATTTAATGTTTATATATATTTCATTTCATTTTGTATACTCAAAAATTACAAATCTTGTAGGACTAATAAAGCATACACCTTTTTTTTTGTAGGACATTGTTTTATTTGGACGAAAAATATATTAACCTATCACGTGGTGCCTTTGTCCTACAGTTACTAATAAAAAAAAATAAAAAAAAGGCCTGCGGTATTGACAACTTTTGAGCGTATGACCAAGATGACATACCAGGCGGTTTGTAGGACAATGTGGCTGGTAAACTATGCAAATATTAGCTAACCAATAAAAAAAAATCAGCTGGTTAGTAATTAGTTTTCGTTACCTTTTTTATGATACATGTTGGAGAGGGAGGACTCCCTAACAAAACCTTATATTTTGTAGGACAAATATTATTTCACGTTATTTAGATAATTTTCTTGATAATTAACAAAGAAAAAATCGTTGAGTAATAAATTTTTAAAATTCGTGAAAGCAACATATTTTATCCTTGCAACCCCAAATAAGCTACCACTTACCAACGTTACTGTAATGAAAAAAGTTGGGCGTCTAGTCAAAAGGAAGTTACTCACGAAAAATCAGCTTGTTAGTAATAAATAACGAAAAGTGTACCAGGGATCCTGTACTAAATCTATTTAACTTAGAATTCTTATTTTTACTGCTTGGATGGGTGGACGAGCTTACGTCCCACCTGGTATTAAGTGGTTACGGGAGCCCATAGACATCTACAACACAAATGCCGCCACGGAATAGATAAATAAGTCTATTCCGTGAATACCGCCACTCACTTCAAGACAAGAGTTCTAGACATTTNAAGTGTACCAGGGATCCTGTACTAAATCTATTTAACTTAGAATTCTTATTTTTACTGCTTGGATGGGTGGACGAGCTTACGTCCCACCTGGTATTAAGTGGTTACGGGAGCCCATAGACATCTACAACACAAATGCCGCCACGGAATAGATAAATAAGTCTATTCCGTGAATACCGCCACTCACTTCAAGACAAGAGTTCTAGACATTTTTTTCAGCACAATGGCTGTACCGCTCTTCAAACCGAAACGCATTACTGCTTCACGGCTGAAATAGGCAGGATGGCGGTACCTACCCATGCGGACTCACAAGATGTCCTACCACTAAATTCAAACAATTTATGTTTTGCTTTTAATATCAAGAACTAAATCAACACAGTTCTATACTTGATATAATTGATTCTATTCCAATATTTGTTACCAGGTATACGAGTGTAAATAAGAATTAAATACTCACAGGTCGTTTTCGAAGTCCTCATTGTCATCTATGATAAGGTCTCTGCAAGGAAGGAAAACAATTAAAAAAACGATCCCCAGAAAAATCGCTGGATAATGCTATTCGCCAAACTAATGTACATGTAGAAACTAATGGAAGTCGCCACTGACGGATCAATCAGGGGAATCTTTGTAATTTCAAAGATCGATCGTTTTTTGTAACCACGTTAAATTTTTTTGCTTAAAATTGTCTCCATATTATCAGCTAAGGGACGTCTGTCACCAAAGTATATTTAACAAATAAATCTTCCTTCTCTCCACGCGCGATCCAACATGTGCGCAGTTTTAGTTCTAGCCGATAAGAAGGGTGATTATACAATATTCATAAAATACCGAAATGCCATATTATTATTACAGTTTCGCGTTCTATAATATTAGTTTGCACGTGTAATTATAGCTTTTAAAGTACTATTGTATCTCACGTATCGCGACACATTTTAAATCGACATTATCTATCAGCGTCTGTCGACTTAGTTAACATTGCGAAAACGTGTGGTCTGTGTAAAGATGGCTACTCTGTCAACTTCTGTTGTTCCGCCGCATTTAGGATGAAAAAGAGAAGTTCTTCCACTGAAGTGATGTCAATCTTCTTTAGACGGACGGTCCATTGTTTTTGGTCCAATTTCTAGTTCCAAAAGGTCTTTAGCGCAAGACTTTTGCTTTATTTCTCCTATAGTTGNTTAGTTAACATTGCGAAAACGTGTGGTCTGTGTAAAGATGGCTACTCTGTCAACTTCTGTTGTTCCGCCGCATTTAGGATGAAAAAGAGAAGTTCTTCCACTGAAGTGATGTCAATCTTCTTTAGACGGACGGTCCATTGTTTTTGGTCCAATTTCTAGTTCCAAAAGGTCTTTAGCGCAAGACTTTTGCTTTATTTCTCCTATAGTTGTCGCTCTTATCTCGTATGATTAACACGTATCACTCTTTTTGCACACAAACCAACCCCTCATAATCTTTTTAAATATCAACTAGCATCTGTCGTTAATTGTAATGAATTTTAAATATTCCATCTCGGACCGATTTCTGTGATTCTCAGTCGAGACGCGAACGTAGACTGATCCCGGGTCGACGCCTTATCAGCCACTCGGAATATCATAAACAACTAGAGCTTCTACCTTGGAGTAGTAGCTCTGTAGTCTTATGTAAGGTTTCGTAATTCGAAGTAACTTGACAAGGTCAAACATTGCGAGCTAAATTAGAACTGCTTCTAGGTAAACTGCAGGTTTAAGCTTTAGGGGACGCGCAGGGTATGTGGTAGTTAACGGTCCGTAGATGTTGGGAGAAGACCGCGGCCCAAATGATGTTTTTAGGGTCATACCAATCAAAAGACTTCTCTTGCAGTCTCTCACCCAATGTCCGATCTCCGCCCGGGATCAGAACCCGGGCAGAACAGGGAGGTTTCTGTAGGCATCACTACAACCAGACTCATGGAACAGTACGCTAGATTGGAGTCTTCACGCTCGAACTTTCACTGCGCCGGGATGCGGTTAATTAGCCGCCCTAGCCACGATAACCGTACAGTCCATTTTAAGTACCACTATTACCAAGTTTGCGTGAGCAACGTCTTACAACGTCGTGTTTTTTAAATTATGCTTTTTTTTTATTGTTTAGACGTGTGGACGAGCTCACAGCCCACCTGGTGTTAAGTGGTTACTGAAGCCCATAGACATCTACAACGTAAATACTTATAACTTATAAGTTCTAAGGAGGGGCTTGAAAAATTCCGTAGATGAAGGGAAGGTTGAGAAGGTGAAAAGCTAGAGCTTCAGAGAAAAGCGTGTGGCGACACAACTTTATTTTTGTTCGTTTGTATTCCTAATTTATTTTTATTAGAAGTGGGTTTAAAAAACTTATTAAAAGCTTCGATTTTTGTTAAAAATAACTAAGATACTCCTTATCTATTTAATGGATTCTCGCTTAAACATATAGATAACTTCCAATCTGTTATCACACGTGCACCAATCTTAATGTTAATGTTAATTAATGATGTTAATTTCGCTCAATGTAATGAGTTTAGATAAACCCACGAATGGTATTGTTGTCTTTAGTTCGTATCGCGTTGGATATCGTTATAAAGTCAAATGTCATCGGGCTTGTTTTTTTTTTTGTTTACATATTATAATGAAATTTGTGTTTTATTTAGTTAAATAACTTTCAGGTTACCGAAATCGAAATATTTTATTTTTATTTTTTTTTATTGCTAGAAGAGTGGACGAGCTCACAGCCCACCTGGTGTTAAGTGGTTACTGGAGCCCATAGACATTTACGACGTAAATGCGCCACCCACCTTGAGATATAAGTTCTAAGGTCTCGAGTATAGTTACAACGGCTGCCCCACCCTTCAAACCGAAACGCATTACTGCTTCACGGCAGAAATAGGCAGGGCGGTGGTACCCACCAAAGACGTTATGCAGATAGATTTGTACGATTTTATACACCGTTGTGTCGTGGCTGCCGGAAACAATCTTATTTAGTAACGATATAGTATGAATATTTTATTGTAAACTAGCTGACCCGGCAGACTTCGTAGTGCCTCAATCGATAAATAAAAGACCTAAGCTTTTGTATAAAGTAAACTTAAAAAAAAACAAAGGGAATTCGTCCGGCGGGGGGTACATCAAAGGAAAAACAAAATTGTTATTTTTATTTCGTTCTGAGCATTTTCATATTTATCTACCTTTTAAACCTTCTCTGGACTTCTACAAGCAATTCAAGACCAAAGTTAGCCAAATCGGTCCAGCCGTTCTCGAGTTTTAGCGAGACTAACGAACAGCAATTCATTTATATATATATAGATAGATAACCTTAAAAACTTACTTCTCGGATGGCATTCTTGTTTAGTGCCTTGAAAATTATATTCCAAACTCAACGGCTGTTCTCTGCAACAAAAAAAAAAAAATATATATAAAGAAGACTGAAGGATTTTCTTTCCTTGGTTGTCACAGCGGTTCAACTTTATGGTAGACAGTGGCTTGGATTGGATCTGCCTACAAGGGCACTAAAAATAAATAATGGTTTAAAAAAAAACTAACAAAATACGCTTTTAAAGAAAATCCAACTAAAAAATAGAAAATAAATGTACTGTAAAAAAAGCATGCGGTGCTTTTAAAGATATTATCAAAATAATAATCCTTCTGCTAAAATATCTGTCAATAAAATATTTATAACTATTGACACCATGCACCCCACGTTTTTTTTAGAATAAATTTACATATTATATTTTTTAGTTGGATTTTATATAAAAGCGTGTTTTTTGATATTTTTTATAAACTATTATTTATTTTTTTAAGTTATTAACACAAATGTCCCTCCGTAATTACTATTATTCGAATTAATAATTTTTTTGAACAATTACGCAAGCCGCGCAAGGTCACTATATATTAAGTTTTAAAAATATATATTTTTTATTGCTTGGATGGGTGGACAAGCTCATGGGTGGACAGCTCACCTGGTGTTAAGTGGTTACTGGAGCCCATAGACATCTACAAAGTAAATGCGCCACCCACCTTGAGATATAAGTTCTAAGGTCTCAAAGAATAGTTACAACGGCTGCCCCACCCTTCAAACCGAAACGCATTACTGCTTCACGGCAGAAATAGGCAGGGTGGTGGTACCTACCCGTGCGGACTCACAAGAGGTCCTACCACCAGTTAAAGTCAACTGTTTTCTTCATGTTTCGCATGTCAACAACTGTTTAAGACGGTATTCAAGAGAATTAATGAATGACTAAGCTACCCCCACTATTCTACTATAAATACGAGTGACTATTTTCGCACACAATAGCACATCATAATAGGGCTGAATACCCGGAAACCCATCCCGACAGGAGCCCTCTTCTTCAATATCGCGAAGGCGTTCGACAAAGTCTGGCACAACGGTTTGATATACAAACTGTAGTGCCAGACAGACTCGTGCTTTTTTTTTTTTTCCTACCTAAGCTGGTAGCCTGGTGCGGCTATTCCAGCGTAACCGTAACTAGTAGGTGAGCTCACGGGACTCAAACCTGACGACGATGCTAACACGAACCCTAGCAAGAGTCGTGCTTCGCAGAATCTACTACCGGATCGGAATCGCGACCCACTGAGAAGATCCGGCGAGAAACTCAGAGGGCTGTGTCTGAGAGTTAATTTACTCGTCGAGCCCTTCGTCGCAAGCGACGGGTTCGACGAGAACGGTGACCGGTGCTTGAAGTACCTAGAANCGAGCCCTTCGTCGCAAGCGACGGGTTCGACGAGAACGGTGACCGGTGCTTGAAGTACCTAGAAGCACCGTTAGTGGATCGGGAGGATCCGAGATGACGTGTTTTGGGCGACGTCGACTGCTTTCCATTCTGTCCGCAGGATCGGGAATGTAGTTACCGGCGGCCACGATGAGAGGGTTCTCGTGTCGTGCCGCTTTATCGAAGGGGAACCAGACTCGTGCTCATCATACGAGACTTCTTGTCGAACCGCTCTTTCCTATATAGAGTTGAGGGAACTCGCTCTCATCCCCGTCATCTAACCGCCGGAGTCCCGCAAAGCAAAACGATACTTGTAGAAATAGAAGCTTAGCAATAAATAAGTAAATGTTGAACTCAATATTTCTGTATGTAAATTTTGAACTATGCAAATGGCTAGCCATTTTGAAACATTCCTAAAGACCTCAAAGTTACAAATAGGCCAATTCATTTTTAGCCATCTAGAAAATGTTTTTTAAATTTTTGTTACGAGTCTTATTATCTAATATCATGTATAACGTACTTGCTTCGGAAGTACATATAATAAAATTGGAACGACAGAGAAGATTAGCATGGCCCCTGCGTAAGGATGACGCGCAAAATCGTGAAGCGTTCCACATTTTTACTGTAGCTATATTGTATTGGACAATGCTGTCAAGCTGATAAGTAAAAAAAAAAAAAAGTTATGAAGTAAGTTTACAATAAACGGTCACATACGTAGATACATTATTACCCCAACAGATAAAAATAAAAGGTAGTCAAATTAGCGGGAGTCCCACCCGGCAAAGGAAGGAAGGTGATGGATGAAAGAAAGATATAGTGTGAGGCATGTCAGTGCGAGAGGCATACAAGTGAGAAATGGTATGAATGTGTAACAGAATAATAAGGTCCTGCCGAGACTACGGGCGGGGAAAGGCGAATAAAAAAAAAAAAACAGAATATCATGTATAACTATAAATATATAGTCATATCACGCTGCTGTTAAATTTAATATATCAATTGAGTGAATTTTAAATAAATAAATAATATCTACCTTAAAATCATTTGCTAGGAAAGCTTACTGAATTTTGCATAGTCAAAATTTCCTTTAATGATGTTTTAATTCGATTTGTAAATAAACAAAATAGGTAGGTATTTCAATTATTTAACACAGGGCTACTGAAGCATTGAAACTATTTGAAACATTATTGAAAGCTATTGTTCTCTTTTCCAAGGAGTCTAATCAAGTCGGCTGTTTTATTTTTATTTTTAATTAAATAATTTTAACATTTATGCTTTTTAAAATTCATTCTTATGTCCATTAACAACAATGTATGAATAAAAACGAAATTATAGAAACATTCGAATTAATTACGTAGTCGTTGCGATGGTTTGCGGTAAACCTCAAATACTGATATTCCATTTAATACGCGATGTTTTTAGGATTTATATAAATTTATATAATATGTTTTTAGTACCGTAAAAAAAAGGTTCAAGATCTTCACAGCGTGAAACGAAGCGCATATCCTATTTTTTTTATATTATCTGTGCATTTTTTAATCAACCACGACATTGGCGCCTTTTTTTTTTCAAAATTTTCAAAATTTTATCTAATTTTTATTGTCGGACTAAAAATATATAACATTACTTCCACAAATCGACATACTATTTGTCCGGTGCGTGGAAAAAATAAATTTCAATTTTAAAATATTAACGACTAGCTGACCCGGTAGACTTCGTAGTGCCTCAATCGATAAATAAAAGACACATCAAAGAAAAAACAAAACTGTTTGTTTTTATATAATTCCGAGCTTTTTTATATTTTCTCACCTTTTAAAATTTCCCTGGACTTCCACGAATAATTCAAGACCAAAATTAGCCAAATCGGTCCAGCCGTTCTCGAGTTTTAGCGAGACTAACGAACAGCAATTAATTTTTATTTAAAGAGATGATATACTTCCAAACACAGACAAATCATAAAAAAAAAAAAACAAAAAGATTACATTTATGTAATAAAATTGAAACTTACTTATAATTTCACGATGCACGCAGTTTCTTATTAGGACAGATCCGAAACTAATTGACTATAACGTTTTAAAAAAAATTAATAATAATACAATTAGCAATATACAACACGATTCAAATAATATGCAAAGTTTATTTCGGACGCGTTATAACAAGCTTGTTATTTGAACGTCTTAACACGACAACGCTCAGCGCAGACTAACTTCAATGCACTCACAAACTTTTGATTTATATACGAGAGACGTTATATAATTTGCGGTATGTTAATTATCATACTTTTCATTTTTAGTTACCAATAATTTTCCTCTTATTCTGTACTATGTCTTCTTTTTTGTGTGTACATAAATAAATAAATAATAAATAAATAAATAATAATAAACGTAAGTGCTCGAAATAAAGCAAAATTCAATTTTTTTTTATTGCTTAGATGGGTGAACGAGCGCACAACCCACCTGGTGTTAAGTGGCTACTGGAGCCCGTAGACACCTACGACGTAAATGCGCCACCCACCTTGAGATATAAGTTCTAAGGTCTCGAGTATAGTTACAACGGCTGCCACACCCTTCAAACCGAAACGCATTACTGCTTCACGGCAGAAATAGGCAGGAAATAGGCAGGGCTACCCGCGCGGACTCACAAGAGGTCCTACCACCATTAGTTACGCAAATCATAATTTTGCAGGTTTGATTTTTATTACACGATGTTATTCCTTCGCCGTGGAAGTCAATCGTGAACATTTGTTGAGTACCTATTTCCTTAGATAGCGGTATACGACAATAGTATTTATTACTCAAAATAAACAGAACAAAACAAAAGAAATCGTATACAAAATCATTAATTATAAACTTTTATTCATCTTTTTTAAACTCAAGCACTTATATTGCGGTCGTTAAGTGCTTATCTTATCAATGAAAAGTGTAACGTGTAATGGATAGTAGTCGATTAAACTGAATCATTCAAGATCATCATGAAGGTCACATAATCATTATAAAATGAAATCGAATGAAATGAATGAAAAAATTTAGCAAAGCCCTGTTCTTGCTAGGACTAGTGTTGGCAACTCAATTAAACCCGACTCCTGTGAGCTTGCTTATTAAGCCGGGATAAACTGGAATAGGTTCTCGTGGCTACCAGCCATTGAAACACAATGATCCCTTATTACCTACTAGCGGCCCGATCCGGCTCTTCTCGGGACTTTAACAAAAATTTCAACGATATTTGATGTTGTTTTACTTTTTTAAATAAAAGAACACTTATTGCGGCATAACTATAATAGTTAGACATATGGTGTCGCGACACTTTTTGTAAATAATAATGTGTTCTACAAAGTCGTAGTACATTATTTTATTCTATCCTCAATAGTTTTCGCATAGCACGCGATGTAAAGAATATTTTAGGTAAATTTTTTACACCTTGGGTTACATTACTGGAGTTTTAGTAAGGATGCCAATTTTTTTTCAAAAAAGATTATAGCCTATCACTCGGGAATAGTGTAGCTTCCAAACAGTGAAAGAATTTTTCAAATCGGTTCAATAGTTTCGGAGCCCATTCAATAAAACAAACAAATCTTTCCTCTTTATAGTATTAGCATAGATTAGTATTTATCAAAAATGGAATTCACAAAATAAGCACTGGAAATAATACTATAACCGAAGTTAA